CGGTGGGCCGGGGTGGCGGAAACCGCCTACCGGAGCCCCGAGGCGGGCTCCTTGTGCTGTATGGGGAGCACCCGGGGTACGGCCTGGCCCGGGAAGGGGGGGTCCGCGAAAGCTGCCGCCGTCCCGGGTCCCCTCGGGGTGTAAAACTGCCCTCGCCGCCGTGGCTACCTCATAAAAACGGCCCCCAGGTTCCCTGTTAACGTTCGTCTCAGCCGCCGAGGACAGCGCTATCGGTTCGTGGGAAGATACCGTGGCTTGACGCCTAAAATGGTCTGTCAGAAGTTATAGTTCGAAGGCGTAAAGGCGGGTTGTCAAAGGAGAACCAGCAGCTGGTACGAATGTGAAAAAATGAGAGGAAAATTTCTCTTTCTACAACGCGAAGCATGAGGAAGAGTGTTTCCCAGCTGGGGCGGCCATGCTCCATTCACAGGGCAGCGCAATGAGGGCAGCATCCCTGACAGAAAAAAAAAAGAAGATCCTTGTAAGCGGGCAAAGATGGCAACAGAAAATAAGCTGAACAGCAAATTTCGAATTTACATTGGGCTTAGTTGTTTAATGAATCTCGTGTAAGCAATACAGAAACTGCATCCTGTAATAGAAGGGGAAAAAAAACCCAACCACCCACCTGCCTAAAAGTTCAGTGCTGTGGGACTCAGAATCACGGAATCACAGAATTTTCCAAGTTGGAAGGGACCTCTAGAGATCATCTAGTCCAACTCCCCTGCTAAAGCAGGATTGCCCAGAGCACATCACTCAGGACTGCATCCAGGCGGGTCTAGAAAATCTCCAGAGAAGGGGACTCCACTCCCTGGGCAGCCTGTGCCAGTGCTCTGTCACCCGAACTGTAAAGAAGTTTTTTCTTGTATTTGAACGGAACTTCCTATGTTCCAACTTGTGCCCGTTGACTCATTTCAGCATGGCTTTGGTAAGGGCTGGTGGGCTGCAGTCCAGCGGGGAGGAGGGCCCAGCCTAACCCAACCTCCACCTCCTCTCGTCCCAGGGAGTTAAACCTACGGTGACCAACAGCACTGCTGCAAAATATTGCTGGTCACTGCAGGCATCAGCCTGAGCACAACCTGCCATGTGAAGGCCGAAACAAAGTGCTGACAAGATGCGCGGTGCAGAAAATAAATCATTAATATTTGTTGGACTCCTTTTCAGCTGCCTAGAAATGGTGAGTGCAACTAACTTGTTTGCTTTCAGACTGTTTTCAAGAATGATACTGCACTCTTTGTAGAAGTAAACTAAAAGTTAGGGTGGAGGCTACCTGACACCCACTTCTATGTTCATGTTTTGTTACTGTTACATTTTTGCAGTGTTTACAAGTGACTGAAAAATAAAATAGTATATTAGGACCCAAGGTCTTTCATAGTCTGTCAACAACTGAAAACTGGATCAATAGGCAGATTCAGAGAGGAAAATTAAGTAGTAATACAATCTGCATACCTGTACCAAATTTCATTGATTGCATAAACTTTCCATGCTAAAAGAATCTGAGCAAATACATCATGTCAGTAAAATGTGTTTAAAAATGTGGTATTTTAAGCTGTTGTTGTTACTAATGTTATTAGTTTTTAAATTTTCCAAATAAAATATTTCACTTTGTATTTCTAATTTTTTTACATCTTCCTTTTCAGATCTTTTCAGCTAACACAGGTAAATCTTCAAAATGTTAGTTTGGTTTTGCCTGCTTATTTTTCAGTGGGTCTGAAGAGAACGCACACGTGTGATTTATAATAAAGCATTCTGTAAGTTCTGGCAGCTTTACAAAGAAAAATGTTTTTCAAGTTTGATTCTGCTTTAAAAGAATCTATGCTGATATCTTTATAATTTTTAACCTCATTTTTAGGATTCCCAATTCTGTTGGATATTCACACAAAGATTCACATTGACACAAGTTCACCCTGGTTCAGGGAGAACACTCAGCTGGACAAATTGTGCTATTCTTTACCTACATAACCGTGCTACAAATAGGATCCAAACTGTCCCATGTTTGCACACAATTAATTGTTGTATCTTTTAATAAAATAAAAAAGCCAAACAAAGAAAACAACGCACACAGCCAAAAATAACCTCAAAACACATGATCTCTTAAGCATAAATATTTCCAGTGTTTTACAGCATTTTATACTTTCTTCAATCTTGTGTTTTCTGCCTACAGCTCCTATTGCCATAAATGTGAATACTGACTAGTTTAAAATATGAGGAATGCAAGATTACAAGAAATGCTCTCAGAATTCATTCATTCTCTGGTGATAGTACACATTCCTGCATATGTACTGCGCTGTCAAGAGTCTTAAATGCTTAATTGTTGCAGACATGTTGTTGCAGTATCTGGACACTTACTGTAGCATATTCTTTTCATGATTTGCAAAACAAGTATTTGATCCTATTCATGTGTGGAATAATGTTGATACTGGTTGTATATTCACATATGGATTATACCTATGCCGAGTATTTTTTAAAATAATTAGACTACAGCATATGGGGGTTTTAAGAATAATAGCCATCATCACAACATGATATTGTGAGAGCAAGCAGCAGTTATTAGAGTAATTAATGGATTATAAAAGGGAATGAGGAAAATAGCACTCCAAATTCAGTGGTATGCCTATCATCTGGAAATTTGGTCACATAGATGCTTGATAAGGCACTGAACAATCTTCTTGTCAAGACTTGACTAACTTCAGGAATGACTGAAATGGGTTTTTGATAAATGTTTTGGTTGTTTGGTTCTTTTTAGGTTTCTCTATGTCTATATACGATGTGACATCACGAAGCATTTATCTCAGATGGCCCAAGTTTTCAGGAGCCTCTTCTTATAGAGTCACAGCTACAGCTGTGAATACTGTAGGCCACTCATTACTGGCTCATTTTAGTGATGTTACACTTAAAGGAACTCTAACTCCATTAATTCCCAATACTATTTATGCTATACAAGCAGAAGCCATTGACAAGAATGGAATTGTTCTTGCAGAAACACAGATTATGCAGTCAACAGGTTAGTAAGAGAAACTTTGGGAAGTATGATTTCCATTGACCTCTGTGGGACTGGGATTTTATCCTTGTTGTTTCATTGTACTGGTAGGGAATAGCTGCCACTCCTGTTGAAGCCTTTCGCTGGTCTCCTACTGAGTTCAGTATTAGTATGATGAGCTCCTTTTCCCCTCTGCTTTTTTTTTTTTCAATATATATGTTTCCCTGTCCTGCCATACACAGCTTGCTCAAACTGCAGCTTTCCAAATCACCTACCCTTTCATTACAAATGCAGATGTAAAGCTATATACATTTTTCAGTACTGATACTGATAAACAGTATTTTTGTTTAATTCACAAAAGGACTTGCATCCTGTAAGTCATTGATGGATACTGAAGAAGAATCTACATAAACAGAAGTGCTTTTTTATTTTATCACTGAAATGTAATTGAAAAAATATTCTGTTGATATTTTGTTTTCAAATAATTTGATAATTTTTAGAAATAGCCATTATTTTTCCAGTATAAAAGTAATTATTACAATAAAAATTGAACATAAAAAAGCAGTAGTGTTTATCCTGATAAGTGTAAAAAAGCTTCTATTACTAGCTTAGTTATGGGAGAACAGATATTAATGATTCATGTTCTGTAATTTATTTCTGACATAAATCGTGTGCTATATATTCTCTACTTGACTGCTAGGCAAGCAACTCCCTTAGACTTGCAAGAGGATTTCCTGCACAGAAATTTTTATGAAGTGTTACTAAAGACAATATTTTAAAAGGAAAAAAACAAATCATAGTGCAATAGCTTGCTCAAAGATTGTGAAAGACACACGTGCAAATGTTCCATAGGCATGCTCATATAGAATATAGGTTACCATTTTTACAAATGTGGCAAGAGAGGGTGTCTGGCTATTGCTGAATACGAAAATGCTTGAGAATAAGAGAGCAAACATAATGCTCGGGGGTTTTATAACAGTGTATAATACTTGTGAGGGTCTCAAATCCCCAATTAGCTGCCTTGCTATGAATAAGTTTGCCTCAAGGCTCATACTTTCGTCCCAAATACTTTTTTATTCATTTTCTTAATTTTAGGTGGGATACACCTTCATTTTATCTTTTTTTCTCTTCTAGTGAGTCTTTTGCAGCCTTGCACTTTATGGACTTGCTTTACATATGCTGATTCTGGTCTGAAAATCTTGATTACCGAACATAAATGACCTGTGGTTGAGAAATACACCCTCTGTAGTTACTTTTGAGACTGCAGTACGCAGGATCTCTTTCTGAATGGCCTGCAGCATAGCATAATAGAAAAGCATTTAATTGCAATATTTGATGTGTCTTTTTATTGTATATCTAACTATGTCTGCTCTGAGCAGGGCATTAGATAAGTTGACTTTCCATGGTCCCTTCCAAACTAATTATATGTTGCTCTGATATGGAAATGCCTAAGATTCAGCATCCTATGTCAGACTGCTTTGTGTAAACATCATCTTCTTCTTTGTCTATATTGCTTTGTATATTGCTTTCTATAAACATCCAGTGTAGTTCATTGGCTGTAGAGCAAGACAAAAAAGAGACCTCTCAGTGCAACCTAGGTTAAATAATGGTCATTTTCAATAGTGATTTCAAGGGTACTAGAATATTTTTATTAAAAGGTGAAAGTTGGTCTAGAATATCTCAAGACTCTGTGTATGTTGTTGATGTTCATTTAAACTTCATTTAACTTAAATTTTAAACATTCATAAAAAGCGTAGGCCATTTGTCCTACACTTTGTCTTTGTGAAATGTTCAGAGCACTTAGCGTTTCACAGGGCTGAGTTTCCCAACTTCAGTATGTCCATTGTTATTTCTGTTTTAGCCCCAGACATACCTGTTATTGACCAAGCTTATTCAAAACTTAGCAACAGTATCACAGTGGAATGGAGAGCAGTACCTGGGGCGACTAGTTATCTGCTGACTGCACAAGATGGAGATTCCTTCGTTGAAACTATAGTTGCAAATTCTCCAGGCACAGTGACGGGACTGAAACCTGCCACCTTGTACAGAATCACTATCAGATCAATAAATTCAGGAGGAAAAAGCCAGCCTTCACCTTTCAGAAAAGCAAAAACAGGTGGACTTTCAAATTCTTATTCTTATTTTAAATTCTCTAGTGCTATTATAATATAAAGCATTCATACATGCATTTTTTTTTTTTTTTTTAATATTTGAACAGAAAATAAACAGTATGGCCCAGGCATGTACTGGTCCTGAATTATTATAATCTTGTATTTTGAATTGTATTGATCACATTCTCCTTTCAGTTTTTGAGGACTAGAATTCAGCCATCTCACTTAATGACCAGAACAAGAGTCTGAATTAATGGTTTACTTTATGACAGTACTGTAAGTTGAATGTTTAATAGGAAGTTTGCTAGAATTTGTATTAATGTATGTATTTTATTTTAACAAAAGACATAACTTGATGGAATGGAAGAAATGAAGAAACAACTAAAAGTATAAAATAATAAGACAATGGAAGACAGGAAATGCAGTATCTTGTTGGTGATTTTCATTCTTCTACTCACTCAACCTTTCATACTTTGTGTATGAGTTACATTCATTTTACAAAACCTGTAATATAATGGATGCAGCAGATCAGTTTCCATATTTATGCTGTCAGTCTTGCATTGATTTATTTTTCTGGTTTTGTTGTCGCTGAATTTGTCTCTCAGAGTTTGGTGATTGTTGTTTCTGTGTATTCATTTCAAATTTGTCCCTTTCAAACAGTATTACTGAAAAAACAAAAGCTTAATTGGTGTTCTTTCTCAACAGTCCTGGCTGCTCCAATTCTTTCTGTTAGTTCTCCAAGTTGTGACTCCATTGCAGTGAGCTGGAAAGCTGTGTATATGGCAGCTGGATTCTCTGTGTCCCTCATGAGATCAGATGGTTTAGGCAGAATGCTGAAGGAGAACACCACCAATACCTCCATGATATTCACAAATCTAGACCCAGGAACTCTCTATACCATCAAGGCATATGCCTGGAATGTCAATGGGATCCCTGGAGATGATTTCACATATAACCAAAGAACCAGTAAGAAATTTTATTTTCTGAAACCAAATAAGCATTAAAAAAAAAAAAAAAGATATACCAGGAAGTATTTATGTGTATGTGGGATTGTGTTATGTTTTTCAAAGATACATTGGGTAGATTTTCAGATCATGTAATATTTACCCCATCTCAAAGTTCCTGAAAGCTCAGATGACATGGCTATGTTTAATGAATATTACTGAGGCAAAGGTATTATTAACTACCACTAAAGTAGTACCTAGGACAGGCTTCAGTAAGGATTACACAAGCTTAGGCTGATTTGAGGATTTTTTTAACTGTGAGAAGCAAATAATCAAATAAGGCAAGAAGTCTCAACAAAAAGCTTTGTGACAGTGCACAACCAGAAGTATTTCTTCAAAAAATTGTCACTTTAATATGCAAGGGGAAGCTCTGCACCACAAAAATTGTATTTAGTTTGCAAGTTATAAAAAAGCTCATGTCTGTAGGCCATATGCTAAGTTGTATTTATGTGTTCCAAACTGTTATACTGTAGGTCCTAAGGCACCAGAGGATGTCCAGGTAGCTTTTAATAGTGGTGCTTTAAGAGCTATTGTTTCTTGGATGCCAACAGAAGGAGCTCTAACTTACAGTGTGACAGCCTCCAGTGGACTCTTGAAACTGAACTGTAATACATCTTCTGCCTCCTGCATGGTGCCATCACTCCAGTGCGGCTCTGAATATTATGTTTCTGTCACAGCGTACAATGATGCCGGATACAGTAAACCTACTGATGCAGTAAGCTTAAAAACAAGTATGTGTCATTGATCCTTATATAGCTTATGGCATATTAACATATATTTCTTTAATGTCAAGTGTAGTCCATTACAATTCATGAGTGGTTCTCAAATAGTTATTTCTGCTTCTGAACTTCATGCATGAACTGTGCCATATACCTTTCTATTTTGGGGATAATAGCCTAAACTTTCTTCATATTTCTGTGAGAAGAACTTGCAATGGTGTATATATTGTTTGGTGCACCAGTAAGCCTGCATTTTCCTCTTACCAGAAGCACCTGTTCCAAAGTCAATTTTCTGAGTGTAAAAGTAATGTAAGGAATCTGTTCTCCTGTGCGAGGTCTGTCACAATTAGATTGGGAGAAATCTATGAGGAAGTAGCATTAAGGACTGGCCCTAGGCTGAGAACTGTTCTAGGCTAAATCTTGTTGTTAGTTAGAAAGGAGGTCAACAAAGCCACTTTAAGCTAAAGTAGCACCCCTAGACTAAATTAAGATACTGTCACAGACCATTTTCAGATAGCATCTTTGTCAGGACAAAAGGTTGCTTGTTTCAGCTACTTAGCACGACTGCCATGTCAGAGGTTTTTGCTTCCTGGCCTGTTAGATTACCTGCCCGTGTAAGCAAAACCTAAAGCATTTTTGTTATTATGTGCTACCTTAAAGACACAATGTTATTCACTTAGTTATTTGCTGTAACCTGCCTCATTTTGACTTCTCATTGATATGAGTTGGAGATCATCCATGTGAGCAACTCAGAGGTGGACCTAACGGGATTAGAGAGCCTTAAGCAAGAGACAACTTTTAAACTGTGGGCTGTAATCTTTGCAGCCAACGTTGCTTCAGCTAGGTCATGTATATTCGTTCTAATATCAGCAAGCTAAACTTTTTGAACTAGAAAGAAAGTAAATGTTATTTGAGAAAAAGCCATGAAGTTTGCAGTGTAATGTGACATTTTGGGATGCAACCAGAAAGGAAACCTGGGCAAAGGACAGCTCTATTTGGACACAACCAATGAGTTGCATACCAATATATAAAGGATTTTCACATAAAGGCTTTTGGATGCCCACTGCTATTCAAGCTAGTATTCTGATTGTCATCCAAAACTACTATTTTGAGCACAGACTGTGCCTGTTCCTTTTGAAATACTGCCTGGTACCACTGGTTTTGTTCACAGGGGCTCCTTATGCAGATCTCTCTTCTGTAGAAAATGAAGGTAGCTTCTATCTTGTTCTGTAAAGAGCATACTCGCTTTTTGTCAATATAAGTAACATCCTCTGTAAAGGCAGATAAGTTGCTGGTTTTTGAACGAGACATAGTAACTGTTCAAGCTGAATAGAATGATTCTATGTATTCTTGATTTTCCTTTATTCTCCAGAAGTATAACTTCAATAAAAATATTCTGATTACAATTCTTTTTTTTTTCTTTCGTATTTCAGTTCCTTGTGCACCGGTAAATATATCAATTGAAGAGGATGAACCTGGTCACTTGTTGGTATCATGGTCTAGCGTCAATTTTGGTCATTATTATGTGGCTTTTGTGAAGAGTGATGATGGCTTGGAAGTGCACTGCAACACATCACATACTCAATGCCATTTCCAGTCGGACTGTGGCTTCACTTATTTCATTAGTGTCTTTGCATATAACAAAGCAGGGCAGAGTCCTTTAGGTGATGTATTCAATTATACTACTGGTAAGTAGCAATTAGTTGGAGCTAGTTGATCTATGATCTTTAAGGTCCCTTCCAACTCCAAGCATTCTATAATTCTAATAACAGACGGTCCTGGTATAACATTTGAAGTCTAGTCCTGTGGTTTTTTCTGTTGCCTTAGGAAGGGGGTACTAAAGTCTTAAACTTCCTCATAGAGAGTTTTCATATTTGGAAAATTTAAAAAATTAGTTAAATGGGAGATTGTGAAGAATGTTGTTAGAGTTATTTAACTTCTAGATGCTTTGAAATTTTAAATCAAGGATATACGCAATTCCTACATCTTACCTTAGAATATCCTCTATTGATTTGGAAGGCGGGGTACTGAATTAATGCAAGAAGTAAGTCTGGCATTCGTGGGACTGTTTGCACAGTATCGGTCACCTTTGGAGATTTAAGGCATGAAGCGTGCCAGTTTTCAGTTCTCCTTCGAGTTCCCGTTTGCCTTGTCTGTTCCCAGCACCTTGTTGCCCCAGCGACTTCAGGGCGGCGGTGGTGTCGAGCGACACCGTGCGGGTCACCTGGGCTCCTGTCCGCGGTGCTGAAATGTACCAAACCAGAGCGGTCGGCTGGAGCGGCGCGGTGCTCTGCAACGACACCGCCGCCGCCTGCACCTTGTCGGATCTCCAGTGCAACACCCGCTATAATATCACGGTTTATTCTTTCAGCGAGGCCAGGGGCAGCAACACGTCGTGTGCGTCTAAGTACGTGGCAACAGGTATTACCACCATTCTTATTGTCCTTTAGCAGTAGAAATAAGTAGTTAAGACACTGCAGCGATTCGTGGATTAAAAGCATTACTGGAGTGCTAAGTTACTGTAACTGATAAAAAATTTTTAAAAAGTAAAATATACTTAAAATATACAGTATCTTTACAAATATACTGTAAGTGGGGACCTAAAACCAGATTTGGATTGAATGCTTCTGATAGCTCCAAGTTTTTGAAAATCAGATTTACAATTCACCTCTGGTTTTGTATGCAGAATCCGTATGTTGTCAGTTCTGTCACAAGCTTTAAATGCTCACCAGGAGTAGACATTAAGAACCATATACTTTTCCAAAGTTGTTTGTCAGTTCTAACTGGAATTTAATTTTCACATGTAACTTCTATAGTATGCATAAACAAACTGTTTAAATACTGTTAATATGAAATATTTCAGCACCCTGCAGTCCTGAAATTAAAAATATCTCAAAGGAGGCTCTTTCTGTAATCAGCGTGCACTGGCAATCTAACAATGAAGAAGCTACATATATTGTCACTGCCAGAGGAGAGGCTGGACTTTGGCATTGCACAAGCTCTGGAAGTTCCTGTACCCTAATTAATCTTCCCTGTGGATCTGCTTTCTCTGTTAGTGCTGTAGCAAGATCACCAGCAGGACAGAGCTTACCAAGTTACAGTGTCCCTTTAGAGACAGGTATGTGGGAATTGTATATAGTGGAAAATATTTAGCAGAATAATACTAAAATAGTTTTATGTCTCTATATGCTTTTGGCTATTTTTTTTTTTAATTACAATGTGTGAACATTATACTACCTGCTGGTGCATACTGGATGTCCTCTGCTTAAACGTGTATGTATCCTTGTGTGTGTGAGAAGGAAGGATCACTTGGCACTTGCCTCACACTGAGAAGCCTTAGTGCAACCAATTATCATCTGGCACAGCTGACTAAAATATACCAACATAATCCACTAATGTAATGCATAACTTCCTTGTCAGCATTTTAACTTTTAATATTACCAGGAGAGGCAATGTGGTGATATCCATGTCAACAAATAGTGTGAAGAACAGATCACATCCTACCAACCAATCCTGCTATTAATTTGCTAGCAGAGTTTTGTCCTGTGCCACTGACCCAGACAATCCCCAGGCACAGTTCAGGGTTAATGTACACAAGGATCTATTTTTAACAGGTAGTTTGGCTGCAGTCATTTTACATTTTAGAGGAAGAAACTTTAAACAGAGCTGGACTGAGCTAGATGACTTGAGGGGTAGAGATGGACCCTGCTGAATTAAACTACAGATGTACCCTGATACTCTAATGACAAATTTTAGTAATTTTTGGTATCTTGGTGAACAATCATCTTATAATAATTCCAGGGTTATAACTCACTGCTATAAACAAATTGATATTATATTGACATTCTGTTTATTAGAAGCTTGCCAGAAGAGTCAGGTATTTTTCAGCATGCTAACATTTGCCTGAAAAGTATGCACGTCTTCGTTCCTTTGCTCTTGATCATGTACTATTATAGTTGCAACCCCCCAAAATACATTCCATTTTACAAATATAAAACAGAATTTACTTCTCTATCTTTTGTTCTTTTCCAAGCTCCTTGTTGCCCTAATGAACTGATACTAACTCAAGTGACGCAGTCTGTAACAAATATCAGCTGGTCTGTTGGGATGGGTGCACAGACATATATAACAACACTGGAGTCTCCAAGAGGACAGGCAAAGTGTCACACTCTTCAAAACTACTGTCTCCTGGGATGCATCACATGCGGCACCAACTACACAGTATCTCTGAAAGCAATCAGTGAAACGGGTTTGACATCCAGTTGCACATATCAAGGATATTCTTCCAGTATGTAAATTGTGAATGCAATTGGGAAGAAAAAGACTCAATATACAAATTACTTTGTATAGTGTTCCTCTCATACAAATAGTGCAGCTGAAATTCAATACATAGTTAATACACTTGCAGTTCCCTTTCTTAAATAAATGCGCTTTGGATTATTTTCACATGTCATTTAGACCCTGTTCTTGTAACGGCCATCAGGTGGCCATATAAAGAAGTTCAGATAACATTGCTCCAGAACCATTTTGTTTTATTTAAATTATGCTATGGTATAATTAAATTTTAGAGACCACAAAAGGATTCTGGGCACTCTACGGTAGCCCTGGTACCTCCATAGTCAGGAGAGAGCAAAAATATTCCAACATGTAAAACAATGGTGGAATTCCGGCTCCAAAATATGAGTCTGATAGAACATTTTCTTCCCTAGTTCAGTTCAAGAATTATTTTGGCTGTCTGTGAAATAATAATTTCTCATTGAAATGCTGGTATCTAGTCTGATAGTAGTCATATCATCTGGTTTAAAATGCACTTCAGGAATTTATAATGCGTTGTCATTCACAAAATTTGCTTATTAATCTTTCTTATTTTATTAGGTGCTTGCTGCCCTTCTGGGGTGAAGCTCTATAGACTCGGCAATAATGGTATCAGGGTATACTGGCGAGCTTCTGATGAAACGATAAACTACAATACTGATTTACATGGCTCAAAAGGCAATTTCACCTGTAGCCCTAGCTCAGGTCTAAGTCATTGCGATATCACTGAGATACCTTGTGGGGATGTCTACACAGTGGTAGTATCTCCAATTACTGATACGGGGCCGAAGCTTACATTTTGTCCTAAGAAAATATATTCAGGTAAAACTTACATTTCTTTGAATGATGTATTTTTGTCCATGCATGCTAGGTGGTTAAAATGTAATTTGAAGTTACGTGAGTAAAGGTGGCATGGAATAGAACTTTTCTGTTCTAGTGTTGACTCCAGAGTAAACTTTATGGGTGCTATCTTGTAATATCTGTGATGGGAACGTCACAGGAGCATTTTGGGATGGGGCATACTTATCTACACAGGTGCCTCTTAACTGGATCACCCATAACCTGGTGAATACAGAGAAGTTAATTTTCACCTGGGAGGTTAGTGGTTAGAATACAGAAGCAAATAAATGAGGGATTTTAATTGTTTTGTTTTCTAATTTGTTTTATAGAATTATTGTTTTTGAATAAAGAAACAAATCAAGAACTTCTATGAACCACTCCTAAGCATATTTTTAAAGTAAAAATTGTTTAAAGGGGTAGTAATTTCTGGGGATTCCTTTCCTAGGGCATAAATTTAGTCTGTTATAAAACTACTGCTATCTGATGGGATTGCACAGTTGTATAGCCTGGACTGCATTCTACAGACTACTAATGTTTTCTGGCTTACAATCTGACACCTAACACTTATACTACTGTTTCATGTCATTTCAGTAACCTGTTCTGGAAGCTCTGTTGGAATGGGTAAGAACACACAGTACATTAGTTTCAAATCCATTATGTTTGTAAAACACGTTAGCATCATGTAACTCCAAGATGCAAATAATATTTGATAGTCAAGGCCTGTGTTAATGTTATGCAGGTTTGTCTCATCCCCCCATCTTATAATTTATAATTAAAAAAGGAAAAAAATCTTACCTATGTTCTGGCCTGTATACCATCACGCATTCTACACTGTCACAACTTTTACTATTTATCTGATAGCGCATAATAAAAGGCAGGCTTATAGCCTTGCTGTATCCCATTACAAATTAAACTTGGTTGCACTTCTGATTTTTATTTTAAAAAAAAAGTTTAAAAAGTGTGGCTTACCTCAACCTATGCTTATTTCTTTTGGGGGTTTCAACAGGGTAGTCTTGCGCTTTATTCGCCTATGTAAACTGCTAGAAACAACTTCAAAAGCAGCCACTGAAACAAACATTTCTCAAGACAGTTGGTTTTCCATAACTGAAATGGTCTTAATTTCTGAATTCTATTATAGTGATTTATAGAGGAAAGAGCAATGCAGAACAACATATCTAGATGAAAATTCTGGTTCAGATAAGGAGGTAAGTTATAAGAGTCGCAATTCAGATTAGGATGTATTAATCAAACTTTTCCTGCTGCTGATACACCAGTCCTGTATATCATAAATATAACTGGTTTGTTAAAATCCATCATATTTTCTTCAGAAACCTCATGTTGTCTACTCCTACTATCAATACTGACTTCTCTCCTCCATGTGCAATAAAACCCTCTTTCACTTCATTAAGAATTTTCTAATTGTGTCCTATCGTTCCCCAGAAGAGCCCTCAAAATCCAAACAAATCAAGATACTCTTCGACACTCATTTACTTTCTCTGCTAGCTAAAATTGCTCATTCTCCAACAAAAGTACTGTTGTTCTGGACTATTTACTGGCCTTTTCTCAAAAGGATGGCAAGAAGTCACTGCTGACTTTTTTTCCCCCCCAAGGTTGATCATCTCTTTCCTGCTGGTCTACAGCTATCTTGGATGTTCAGGTTGTTGATAACACCATTCTCCCTAAATGCTTTTCGCAGTCTTTCTTTCCCTGAAGCTGGAAAGGTGACATCTGTGCTTAACTGCAACAGTCACAGCTGCTTGAGGACTGGGAAGAAGGGAGCTGAACAGCTAGCCATATCTGAGATCTAAGCCAGGACATCAAATTTAAGCCCCAACTGATAATTTTTAAAATGCAGATGAACACTGATAGAGATTTCCATAATCTTGAACTGTCATTTTCTCTGTAAAGCAATCAGTTTCAAAAGCTCAAGACAGTTATTAATCAGTAGGTGTGTTCTAGACCTAATGTATCAATGAAATAGTAAAGGATGAAATAAAGATTCAAAGAGTGAAATTTAACTCCAAAAAAAAAGAAGCAGCTGTTCAGGTGTACTCAATTAAAAGTAGCTTGAGGCTAAATCAAGTATTCTAAGGCTATTTCATTTTGATTTAAATTTCAAAAAGAGTTTCTTCCTTTACAATTTTGAGAGATGACTCATGAGGGTAAACATAGCTCCTCTTCCCATCAGCTGACTTGTTTTGCTTCATGGCTAATGAAGAGCAGACAGTTATTACTAAAATTTTAATTTCCCATTTTTGGAAAGGGCAGAACCTTTTCTTGTACTACACAGTGGTCACTTTTTCGACCAACATAGAAAGCAAAGTTCAAGTTCAAGGATTCTACATATAAATAAAAACAATTACTCAAAGATATCTTAAAAAAACAGTCTTCAGAAGCTTACATATAAAGGTTACCAAAGGCAACAGGGTTTTTAACACTATTTTCAGCTTATAAAAATAGACACCATGCATTCTGAAAGTTTTCTTTCTTCACAGAACACAGATGTACTGAGTATCTCAGTCACTGCTTCTGATCATTTGCACAAAATAATATGGAAATCTCACTCTTCAATACATTGATTTTAGATGGTCCAGGAATTACATGTTGCATCTTAGAATGTGATCTGCATTTATTCACTGTCAAACAAGTCTTTCTTTAGGAAACATGATTTAAAACTGCCCTGCATTACTTAATAAAAAGTTGGGTTTATTTCTCATTTAATTTGAAAAAAAGGAAGAATGTAGAAATAAGTATTGTTCACAACTTTCTTCCTGAGGGGTTTATTTAAATATTTTTTCTTTGCAATCATCATTGTCAAACACTGTCACCAAAGCTTAAGTGTTTAACCAGATGGCTATTAACTGGATTTTCAGTGGTCTAAAGCAATCAGTTTCTCTTGAAATCAAATTCAAGCCACAGCTTTCTTGTTTTCATATAAATAATTCTGATATTTCCATGCTCTAACAGTAACTCTAATGTATTTTAAGCAATTATAAACTGTTGGTGTATTTTTTTCTCCATTCTTCTTGACATACAGACATTGACATCTCAAAATTGCACACTACAATCTTGACAATGCTGTAGTACTATTTTCATCTGCTCCTCTCATATTCATGATTGAAAACAAGAAATGTAATTGTAACAGAACATATTATTTGCATGTCTTTTAAAAAAAGGGAAAAAGAAAAGAGCTGAAGAAGAGTCAAGATTCCAAGAAAAACTGCATTGATTCAGCTCCAAAAACATAGTTAGAGGATGTAGACAATTTACCAAAACAGGGAGGAAAAGCAACACAACCAAACTGAGCCAGATCTGCACCTCCTACTGTGGCTTTGTATATGTTGCAGGCGGTGTTACTCAGGCATTGGACACTGTCTAATAATAATTAGCACTACTGATATGTGAAACATCACTGGCACTCACAGAGATGTTTAAAAAACTTTAGCCAGGATTAGTTTCAGGTTCTCTCCAGATTGAGGCAAATGCTTTCTTTTTGGGTCACGCTGACTTGTTTTAAGATCACAGGGAAGGATGATCAGATATAGTGTTTTCATAAATGTTGTGCATCCATAGATGTAGTTCCTATACGATTTACTAGTAAGGAGCTCTGGTCTTCATGAAGCAAAAAAAACCCAAATAAACTCCACAATAACAAAACAAACACACACACAAAACAAAAAAAGCAACCCGCAAACAAACCAAAAAGCACCCCAAACCAATCCAACCCTACAAACCTCTTAAAAGAAGAAAAACTTGAGAATCAGGAACATTGCTGTTGAAGACCCAGAGACAGACAGCATATTGGTATGCTATGTAAAATGAATGCTTTCAGAACAGTATCTGTTATACTAACAAATTGGGTGATTAAAACCACCTTGGTTATTTCATGATAAATGCCTTCATTAATGCTTATTTAATAATAAATTTAAATTGAAGGAATAATTTTAAATATGTATTAGTTGCAATTACACAGATGAACACTTGCAAAAAAAATTTGCTATTGTTCCAAATACAAATTATTAATAATTATATTTGACACAGAAGTCATAGCTGAAAAAATTAGATAGGCTGTTTTTAGTCCAGTAAAGAAACTGGCAAAAATCTATCCTTCAGTTGGTTTCATATTTGACCAAAAATTGCTGAGACTTAAGTGTTTTCCCACATCCAACTATTGTTGGGGGAAGAGGAGAAAAAAAAAATAAAAGGGGGGGGGAAGAGAGAGATAAGATACAATGACAACTACATTGCAAAACCTCATGAGTGGCATTTAAATGCTGGTTTACACTGCTGAACAGCTGTAAAGTTATGTGCACTTCATAGCAGTGCAGAAAGGGCTCGAACATCTACCAAAGCCAGTAGAGGTCATCTATTTCTTCCAGGTTCCCATGTCTTTGAGTCAAGACAGTAATATTCAGCTGTAAACATGAAAAGTATGAGCTCATTCATGTTTGTTTATCAACATATAAATGAAAGTATAAAAACCATGGGTGTGCATACTGTCCAAAGTAGCCCACAACAAGATCAGACTAATTGCGGTGCCATTCAAGTCCCCCTTTTCAATACAGGTAGGTAATCAAAATATCACTCCTATTATGTTTAAAAATCGGTACTAATTACCTGCACAGTTATGTAGCAGTAGGTAGATGCGAGTCTCTGGGGTCAAAATAAAAGAATGCCAGTTTGCTACTTAAGGTCTGCAATATTGTTCAACTAATTGAGTAGTATCTTCAAAAGAGTAAAAAAAAAGTAGAGGTGTGTTTCTCAAATTAGTATGATTAGTCCAAATAAGTACTTGTCATTGGAGCCACATGAAATTTCAAAGACAGATTAGACTCCAAGAGGAATGACTATGGACACATAGCATAGTGTGGAAACTTCAGGTTCATAGTGTTTTGTTTGTTGTGCTTTTACCCTCAGAACTGAAAAATAACTGCCCAGGCTCTGTCAGCCAGAAGGTCTACAACCATACCTGCTGGGAAAACTCTCACAACACCTCCAACTAAAATTGGGTTTTCTTGTAACGACTCCAAGCCAAATGCCCGCTGGAGCTGTACTGCTAGCAACTGCATCAGAGCCATCAGCACTGGCGACTCCACTGCTCTTACCATTTCTGATCAGAGCTGCTTTGTAAAGTTCCATGGATCTGTACCTTCTGGTTTCAAGGAAGGTCACATGAAATAAAATGGCACCAGAAAGACAAAAAGGAATTAAGAGTCCCTGGCTCCAAACCCAAAAGCTGCACGATACCAAATCCCAATGATAACATAAGATGGGCATCTTAGTTTAAATTGTTTTCACGTGTCTTGATCAGTCATGAATATTGTGCTATCCATTACACTACTAGCTCAAGTACATAATATGGATCAGATTAAATCTGAAAAAAGTTGGAAAGGACTATTTATTGAAAAATAAAAGCAAAGCCTTCAAGTTACTGCACTTGTAAGAGACACTGGCACAGGCCAGTCTGTGCATAAGCAAAGTATCAAAATGTTACCTATCTTCATGTAATAAGGCAGCTCTCGCCACTTTCAGGTCAAAGATTGTTTCTCAAATATCTGGATTTTGCCTGCAAATAAACCGTTCTTTCACTGTATTTTCCAAGAACAGCAGAGGAAGAGTCCTAAAGGAACAACTGGAGATCAGGAATCCTTTTCTCCCTGACAGACCGCTGGCCTTGCAGCCTCTCTGCCCAAGAACATGTTTCAGAAACTCGTAGGCTGATGGTTAAAAACTAACGAGGCCAAAAGCAGCCTTCTCATGGCAAATAAGGCAAATTGAAGTTGTCGTCATTGTTTGGACAGAATCCATGCAATCCCCTGGCAGGCTGCAAAGGCAGTTCCAATAATCCACTAGCCAGTGTATTTCTGAAGTGGCCAATACAGTTTTTCTCCTCCCATACTAAACAAGAGCTCAGTATTTTAGTTTTACACTGCAATGGAATTAACTTGTTGAAGCTTAAGCTTTGTTTCAAGGTCAGATTTAAAATCAGATAAAAGTATAAGCAGACAATATCTGAACCACCTCAGTATTAAAAGATTTCAAACACCAAGGACCACGGTGACAAAGGAAAGACTAACAATTCAGAAAATAAATAAGAGCAGGGAGGAAGAAAAAAGTGAGTTTGTTATTTTAGCTTCTTTGACTACTATGGAATGAAGTGTACTGTTAGACATCCAAGC